TAATAATAATAATAATTTTGCAATAGTTTCCTACCAAGACAAGTTTTTTTTATAAAAAGTTAGGTCTTCTTTCCTCTTTTTACAATCATTCCTTCAATGTTAGAAGCAGAAATTTGCAGCAGCAGTGACACCTGTCAAGTTCAGTGTCTCACAGTTGTAAAGCAGGGCTGTTCATCTCATTTGTGCACTCTGCTAAAAAAATAAGTAAGAGAAATAATACTCAGAGTTCATTATTACTGCCTGGTGCAAAATACAAAGGCAAAAACAATAATGTTTTTCACAAACTGGATTGACTTGTCGGGAGTCAACTTAATCCAATATGGCTGCCAAACCCAAAAAAATGGCTCGAAGTAAGTCGATTTTTATGACCACTGAGCTAAAATTTTGTGCAGCAGCTGAAAACATCATTGCTTTCCATTCRGCTTTCTGTATCAGACAATAACAATCAGTGTCTTCATAAAAATGATAACCAATCTCTAAATCTCTGCCAAGCGGAGAAAATAAATATAAATGAGGTTGAGAAATGCAAGCTTCCTTCTTCGGTCAATTAAAATGGAGTGACGTGAAGAGGAGCGCTGCTGTTCGGTCCGAACAATCAAATTTTAGAATTATTTTCAGGAAATCACGGATAATGCATCCTCAGAGCTGCAGAGGAGGAGGAGGAGGACGATCATCTGGTTTGTTATCAGTTCAAAAGGAGCATCTATTATGGGATGGAGAGATGCTGGTGCAAGCAGGGTGCCTAATGTACTTGTCATTTATAGAACTAATGTGTTTCAGGCCAGATACATTTGTTTTTATATTAAACAAGTTTGGTTTCATGTAGGTTGTGTGAGCTATTGTAATATCTCATTAGATTGTACATAGTGTTGTTTTATTCGTTTTGTCACTTTTCAAACTCTGACTTTGGCAGCTGATGATGAGTTTTCCTTCAAGGAATGCTAGGTCTAATTACATTTACGTGCTTCAAAATGTGTCTAATAAATAAAAAGCTGATGATTAAAAAATGAAAAGATACTTAGACGCAACTGTTAGCTGCAAACTAGTCAGAGAAGATGGACACCATGCAGACACTCCTCTGCAGACTCCTGTGCTTTCCTTTTCAATTTCAGGGTTCTGCAAACTTAAAATGTGAAAACATGCTCATCCATAGGGATGTTGCTGAGAGTTTCACTGAACCCTTTCAAAAAGCAGTAAAACCCATTCAGAACAACAGGACCTGTTTCGGATTATTAGTCAAAACTGCAAACAGATCAGATTTCGAGGTCGGTCTAATCAGTGTCATTTGTTATCAGAGCATCTCACAGCTGCTCCTCAGCATGCTACTGCTGGTTCTTGTTCATGCAGATACAGTTCTTCTAAATATGCAGGCTCAGAGATGGGCGCCATGATGGCATAGTGGTTAACACTATTGTCTCACAGCAAGAAGGCCCTGGGTTCATCCTGGTTTGGGCTGGGGACTTTTCTGTGGGAGGTTTGTGTGAGTTGGATACTCAGTGATCCAAAAACATGAATGTTTAGACCCTCTTCAGGCTCAGGTGTCCCTTGGAAAAAGATGTGTAATGTCAATGCGAGTTGCCCGGTGAAATAAAATAAAATAAAATAAATAAAATAAAATAAAATAAGCTGGTTTTAAGCATGACTTATCAAACTTAATTCAAACCAAGTCTTTTTGTTGTGGTGTAACAACATTTCCAGGGATTCTCGAGCCAAAACATCAATGTCAATTTTGACCTCAGATGATGATTTAAAGCAGTGTTTCCCAAAGTTGGGGTCGGGACCCAAAGTGGGGTCCTGAAACATCAAGGTGGGGTCCTGAAAAGATTTTCTGAATTAATTATATTTTTGCCTTAGCTGTTACAAAGGAGTGAGGTTAGTGTATTTTAAATGGATAAATGTAGTATAAAAATATTGTTACTATGCCTACGTTTAGTTGACC